CCTAGTTCTCTCTTGTGGACTGCGTCGATAGGCAAGGATAGATAGCAGGAACTAGTCTCTTTATTCTAAGTAAGAATACGTAATTTTTATTCTTCGGATCACAAATGTTCTTCTCGGGTTTACCGGACGGCTCGTCGTACCAGACTCGCCTTCCGTGCCGCATCGCTCCTTTTTAAAGACGCGGAAACTCTCTCCTAATTCGGCGCTTCGCCCTTGTGGACGCAATAACAAACTGTCGATGTACACAATTACAGAGAGCTCTCAGGAGCGTATATCGAAGGCGCGCGGGGATCACGGAAATGTAATTTTTTCCCAAACATTCTAAAGTAAACAATTACACAAAACGCTCTTTCGACCTCAGCAAAACGATAGAATAAAGAGGATTCTTCTCGACTATTCTAGAAACACGGGCCTATAAAAGCCTCCTCTCTCGTGATCGCGGCGCTCTTCTCCGATTGCTCGTCGCGTCAAGAGTGTGTTGCTACTGTTTAAAAAGATCGCTTGTCTTTTTCTCTTTACCACGTCTAATTACCGTTGCTTGCGGAACGTTTAATTATTAATTACCGACTCGGCTATTTCTTTGGATTCTCCTAATCCGTTAACTTTTGTAAATTCTGTGCGGTTTTCAGTATTTGTATTTTCTTTGTTTTTAGTTAAAATATAGTTATATTAAACGATACGTTTTGTCGAGTGTCGTGCTTCGCCGTCTTCTCGCTTCCGACATCCTTATCCTGCCTTCCGTCGCGCACATTATTTTTGGTCCTTCGAGCCGGATCCTCCAGAACCTCCTGTGAATCCGGTGCCACGGAAGCGTAGAGTCTTTCAGTGTAGGTGAACAGTGCATCTGAAAATAAGACAGTGTCAGAGATGGCAGACACAACGACTATAATTACCAACGCCACCGCGCTATATGGCAAGATTTCGCGCGCATACGATAACCTTCGTAAGCTCGGCGAGGCCAACATCACACTCGGTGCAGTGGAAGCCCGGCTTCTGAATCTCGACAAACTGTGGGAGAAGTTCGATGCGATGAATGATATCTTGGCTGAGCGTGTAGACGAAATAAAGCATGACGTCTATGCTAAACAGGACATACCTTCACTCGGCGAAGAGTCTTATCTAGTGAACAAGGGCCTGATGTTGGAGATGCGGCGTACTCTCCAGAAGAAGGAACGCGCCGCTGCTTCTGCTACTTCAGAGACATCACCATCGGCGCCTCGCACCACGCTACCTCGAATCCAGGTACCGACCTTTACGGGAAGATACGAGGATTGGCCGGCCTTCCGAGACCTCTTCGTCTCCCTTATCGGCCAGGATAAGACGACGAAGCCTGTGGAAAAAATGCATTACTTGAAGAGCTGTGTCAAGGGCGAGGCAGATCTTCTCATCAGAGACCTCAGTTCTACCGAAGCCAATTACGAGCGAGCCTGGCGAACTCTAAGCGACTACTACGAAAATAAGCGCTTACTAACCCGCTCTTATTTAACGAATTTTTTAAGCCTGCCAAAGATGAAGGGAGAATCCTCTACTGAGCTTAGGAAGATATTCCACGGCATCAAGACTACGGTCAGCTCGCTGGCGAGCATCGACCGGCCAGTAGGGAGTACTGAAGATCTCTTTGTGCACCTCGCCGTTGACCTTCTCGATAGTCGCTCTCGCCGCGAGTGGGAGACCTCCATCAGTGAAACGAACGAGCCTCCGCCATACGCTCTGCTAGAGCGATTCCTTGAGCGACGCCTTCATACTCTGGAGTCGTTGCCCTCGACGAAGATCGACGTCTCGTCCAACAAGGCCAGCGGGAGTCAGTCGAGGTCGACTCGTACGCACCATGCTCGTAAGCTGGACTCAAAGGAGCTCAAGGGAAACACTAGAGGACGCTGTTCAGCCTGCCAGGGTGACCACTTCGTGATGCTGTGCGACGCTTATAGGAAAATGACGGCCTCAGAGCGCAAGCAGCACGTCGAAGGCAACGACTTGTGCGGAAACTGTCTCGGCCGACACAAGACCAAGGAGTGCGCCTCCAAGAAGAACTGCTCTGCGTGCAATGACCGGCATCATACCTCACTCCATGATGCCTACCGCTCATCGGAGACCGTCAAAACGGCGCACGTCAGCAAGGGACCGGTTCCGACGCCTGTAGCGGTACTTTTGGCCACGGCACGCGTTCGCGTATGCGATCGCTATGGTTCCTGGCAGTCCGTTCGCGCCCTCGTCGACCAAGGCTCGGAATCCTCCATTGTGTCGGAAAGGCTCACCCAACGCTTGAGGCTAGCACGGAGCTCCGCTTCAGTTTCCGTGTATGGAGTCGGCGGGAAAAAGACAGGTGTCTTAAAAGGTAAAGTGGTACTCACCCTCCAGTCTCTTAGTGGCTGCCCTTCCATCACCGTCCACGCCCTGGTGCTGCCGAAGCTGACCATCTACGCCGGCGGCTACAACGGCGGCGGGCATAACTGGCCTCATCTTCAGGGTCTGGAGCTCGCGGACCCTGATTACCGCTCAGCTGATCCGGTTGACATTTTCCTTGGCGCGGACATTTACGGTTCGATCCTCTGTCAGGGCCTAAAAAAGGGAAATCGACATGAACCAATAGCTCAACAAACCACGCTCGGCTGGATACTGTCAGGCGTGGTTGGTGAGACGACTACCGGACATCACGTTCACACTCACCAATGCCGAGTTGAGGACGACGTCTCTATCCTGGTGCGACGCTTCTGGGAGCAGGAGGAGCTTCAACGGCCTTCACAACTCTTCTCCAAGGCTGACCAGGAGTGGCGAGGATCACGATCGAGCCTCTGCCTGATCTCTCAGCCACTCGACGCGCCGCCAGTCGAGCCCTGCAACACGTCAGCAAAAAATTAGAACGAGAAAATACCTTCCGCAGCATGTACGTGGATTTCATGGAGCAATACTTGGACCTCAACCATATGAAGCCGGCTCCCCTGTCGACTATTGGATCTCTACAGCGAACCTGCTACCTTCCTCACCACGGGGTCCTGCGCGAAAGCAGTGCCTCTACTAAGTTGAGAGTGGTCTTCAACGGTTCGAGCTCTTTGGCCAACGGCGACTGTCTCAACCGATTCCTGATGACGGGACCCAACCTGCTTCCCGCCCTAGCTGACATCCTACTACGGTGGAGAAGGCACCGGTTCGTCTTTGCTACCGACTTTGAAAAAATGTACCGGCAAATCCTGGTGCATGCCGATGATCAGAGCCTGCAAAGAATATTGTGGAGGAAGGACTCGGAGACAGAGATCAAGGAATATTGGCTGACTACTGTGACTTACGGTTTAGCCTGCGCTCCATACTTGGCCATCCGCACGCTGCATCAGCTCGCCGTAGACGAAGGCGATCGTCATCCTGAGGGAGCCGCGGTCCTCCGCTCCGACGTTTACATGGACGATTTCCTGTCTGGAGCTTCTACCCTCCAGGAAGCCAAGGAAATCCTCCGACAGCTTGTTCTGGTCTGCAAAGTGGGAGGCTTCCCTCTGAAAAAATGGTCAGCTAATCACCCGCAGTTACTTTCGACATTACCTACCGAGGACTGCCTCCAGCAAGAGGCAAGATGGTGGCTGCCTGGGGAAAGTCATGCCACCCTGGGATTACGGTGGCAACCTTGCGACGACCTCTTCTCCTTCGCCACCAGCCAACCAACGCTGCCCACGATCACTAAGCGGTCAGTCTTATCGTTGACAGCGAAGCTGTTTGATCCGCTCGGTTGGCTGTCTCCCACGACTGTTCTCGCCAAGACTCTAATCCAGTCTACTTGGTTGCTCGGCATCGACTGGGACACTCCTCTTCCGGACGACCATGAGAAGGCCTGGTTACGCTTCCAAGCGGAGCTCCCTCAACTAGAGAGACTGCACGTTTCTCGATGGCTGGGCGGAGGATCGACTGACTGCCGCCTGGAAGTCCACGGATTCGCTGACGCTTCAGTCCGTGCCTACGCCGCTGTGGTGTACCTAAAAACCGAGAAGAACGGGGAGTATGGAGTTACGTTGATTGCCGCCAAGACGAAAGTTGCTCCGCTAAACAAATCTCCTTACCTCGGCTCGAATTATCAGCCGCAACTCTTCTGGTCCGCCTCGTTCAGCAAACGCTGCCTCTCATCGGAGCTGAAAAGGCGCCTCTTCATCTCTGGTCAGACTCCACAGTGGTTCTCGGCTGGATCCGTGGACATCCTTCTTTTGGGTCACATTCGTTGCCAACGGGTCAGCGAAATTCAGACGTCGCTCCCCGACGCCCTTTGGCATCATGTCCCTGGACGCGAAAACCCGGCCGACTGCGCCTCTCGAGGCATCTTCCCTGGAGATCTTTAGGCGCATCCACTTTGGTGGCAGGGTCCCTCTTGGCTGAAAACGGAGAGCGGCCCTTGGACTGTCTTCGGAGAGGATCCAGCAACGTCGAGCTACCAGAACGTCGAGTCCGTTCGCACGCTGCAGTCTTGGACAAGTGAGGAGAGGAGACGAACCGGAGCTGCTACTCCGATACTCGTCCCTGCAGCGACTACTTCGCATCACCGCCTGGTGTCTCCGGTGGTTTCGACAACGCCGACGGCAGCCCATCCTTCTCAATCGCGACGGCGGGGTAGACGCTGAAGAACTGCATGACGCGCTGATCCACTGGGTACGGCTCGTCCAAGCTGCAAATTTCAAGGACGAGTTAAAATCGTTGCGAGGACTGACATCACTGCCCAACCGAAGCCCACTCATTAAGCTCAGCCCGTTTGTGGACGATTCGGGCGTTATTCGCGTCGGAGGGCGTCTACGACATTCTCAAATGTCTTTTCAGGCTACCCATCCAATCATCTTACCGAGCTCGTCGCGAATTACTTACCTCGTCATCGATGAGCATCACCGACGATCGTTGCATGGGGGCACCCAGCTGACCCTGTGTTCCATCCGCCAAGAATTCTGGTTCCTCGTGGACGATCCCTCGTTAAAAACCACATTCACCGCTGCGTTAGATGCCTGCGATGGCGGGCGGCTACAGCACAGCCTCTCATGGGTGACTTGCCTACGCCCCGAGTGACGCCAGGAAGACCATTCCTCCATACTGGCGTCGACTATGCCGGACCCGTCTGGCTGCGAAGTGCCAAAGGCCGCGGGCAAAAATCTTCTAAGGCCTTCATTGTCGTTTTCATCTGTTTAGGTTCCAGGGCCGTCCATCTTGATGTCGCCTCGGACTACTCGGCCGACGCCTTCTTGGCATCCTTGCGTCGGTTCATCGCTCGGCGAGGTGTATGCCAAACGCTATACAGCGACTGTGGGACCACCTTCATAGGCGCCGACACGCAACTCCGAGACTTATTCGCAGCCACAAAACCTGAAGGCCGTCGCATCGCCTCCTTCGCTGCTCAGGAACAAATTCAGTGGCGGTTCAACCCGCCGGCTGCGCCCAACTTCGGTGGCATCTGGGAAGCGGCAGTCAAGTCAATGAAGCACCATCTTCGCAGAGTGATAGGAGAAGCTACACTCACCTACGAGGAGATGGCCACTCTCCTCTCCCAGTCGAGGCTTGCCTCAACTCTCGGCCTCTGCAACCGCTGACCGACGACCCGGAGGACTTCAGCGCGCTGACGCCCGGCCATTTCCTCATCGGCTCCGCGCTCTCCGCCGTCCCCGAACCGTCGCTGACCGAGGAATCGTCGTCGCGCCTCTCCCGGTGGCAGCTTCTACAAAAGATGAAAGATCATTTCTGGTCTCGATGGTCTCGCGAATATCTGCACACGCTGGCTCATCGGCCGAGCCGAAATGGTTCAAAATAAACCGGGAAGCTCGCGTCGGTCGACTCTGTTTAATCCGTCACGAAATGACCGCTCCAACGAGGTGGCCTCTAGCGCGCATCACCAAATTGCTCTCCGGAGCCGACGGACACGTTCGCGTCGTCGAGGTCCGCACCGCCACCACTGTCTTGACCCGACCCGTTAGCAAACTCGTTTTCCTTCCCGACGTTGACGAACTGCCACCTAAAACCCAAAGCGATTAGTCAATTCATCAACCCTTAATTTGCACCGTTCCAAACTAACTCACATCAATCACAACTGCATTCCACTCACTATTCCACTCTTTGCATCGCTGCAATCTTCTTATCACTCCACTATTCGTTCATACTCAATCACGGTTAAAATCACAATCCAAATTGTCGCGTATTCCTCGATGCGCTCACCGACACGCGTATATACTGCCGCGCTCGAAAATAAACAGCTGTTTGATCTGGAATTCCTTGAGCTAAATCCGTCAGAGCACGTGCGCTCCACGTGCCCGTCATTCGCGAGAGCGTGAATAGGCGCGCCCCCTCTCTCGCACTTTTGTTCGATTGCAGGGTATACTGCAAGGCGGGCGGAATGTTCGAAAATCGAACGGTTGATTGTAAACTGAAAAGACCTAAGAACATTATTGCGTTAAAGCTCATGCAAATTTGACATGCAACATGCATCATGCATCATTTTTTATTAATATTCTTTAAAATAGCGCTCGGCCGCACGGTATACGTATACCCCGCGCCTGCGAAAAGAAAGCGCTTACGTTAAATCCCCGATAATTGTAAACACCGCGGTCACGCGAGAGGAGATACACTTTAGTTCCTATAACAATAAAAAGATTATTTTTCTATGTTTTGTAATTTTCTCCTTTGGGTTTTATCGGAGCTATCGCCCTAGTTCTCTCTTGTGGACTGCGTCGATAGGCAAGATAGATAGCAGGAACTAGCTCTTTATTCTAAGTAAGAATACGTAATTTTTATTCTTCGGATCACAAATGTTCTTCTGGGTTTTTACCGGACGGCTCGTCGTACCAGATCCCTTCCGTGCCGCATCGCCCTTTGTAAAGACCCGCGGAAACTCTCTCTTTAATCGGCGCTTCGCCCTTGTGGACGCAATAACAAACTTTCGATATTACACAATTACAGAGAGCTCTCAGGAGCGTATATCGAAGGCGCGCGGGGATCACGGAAATTTAATTTTTCCCAAACATTTACCCTCGGGTTGAATCGCAAGGGATTCAAATGACAGTCAGGGGTAATCCTACAATTGAACTGCATATTGGAGACAACCTGCAGAATTTAGATTACGTGAACGTCCGGACTTACCGGCAATTTACAGAGTTTAACAATAGGTCTTACAAAAGTAGAGACGCGGTCTTGACCTGAGCAACTCGCACCAGGCATCCTTGTCAGGCGTACATTCGTATTGATTCTCGCAAGTTCCCATCTGCAGGGAGGTTAAATTAGGATTTTTTATTAGAACATATCGTTTATGCGAAAAATTAATCAGATCGATTTCTGCCATTTTTTAAAACGCGATTTGTGCTGCAAGGTGTTCAAGTAGTCAAGACTCCACAATTTCCCAAAAATAATTGCTAGTATTTCGCACGCATTAATTGCCATCGATCGGTCGTGACCCGGAGATATGTAAGGACGCTCGGACTCCGGAATCGTTATTTTAATGCGCTACCAATTAAAAAATGCTGGTGTTGGCGCATTGCAAGAATTTACATCGTTCATGAAGTGCGGCGATCGGGCGCGAATTCAACATGCTGTCGATGTATTTGTTAAAAAGCGTAATGAACTCTTCGACCGTAGGTGTGCAGGGAACCAAGTATACGTCGCAAATGGTGCTCACACTCTTAACACCTGCCTCCCACATGCCCCCAAATGAGGGGCAGAAGGCGGAATGAAATGCCATTGAATGGCTTTGACGCGAACTTCGCCTGCAGATCTACGTCGGCTTGAGTCTGTCGGATCGCTGTAACAAGTTCGCGATCCGCGCCTTGTTAGGTAGTCGCGTTTGTCGGATATAAATATAATAGAAAGATCGGATGGAATGCCACGACGCGCTACGACAGTTTTCGAAGATCGAGAAAACGCAGCCGTGGAATAATCATGAACGAGCTCTAAGTGTATAGCTCGTGGTAGCGAGACAAACAAATAGCGAGATGGTATGTTTTGTGAGACTTACGTCCGCGGCCGGAAGCTGTCTCGAATTGCGAAGGGGCCGGCGTAATTCAAGTCCCGTGATGGCAAAATGGAAGGGACGGAATTACTCTAAATGTAGGGAAGGTCGCCATAAATTGTTACGCCGGTTATGGCGCGATGCCGAGT